GGATCTGAGCCAATGAGCTATAACAATATAATACTATGCTAGCAGGCAATCAGATCACTATTACTTCAAACATCATTTTAAAAGATCTACTTTTTTATTATTTCTATAGCTCCATAGTTCATGGTTCTTCATAGAACAAATAAAAGACAGATTCCCTGCCCCCTAAGAGCTTACAGTCTAGGCAAGTACAAGAACAATAAGAGGAGATAACACAGGCAAGGGACAGAGGGGGTAGTAAATGAAGAGAAGGTCAGTTAGATTACAGTTACATGATAAGCCAGTGTGTTTGTCTTAGTGAATACAACTGGGAGGATGTGATGGTTCCGTAACTTCATTTTTATTTAAAACTTCTATAGGAGAGCCATGAAGAAAAGATTTTGAAAATAAATTTGAAAATGTTAGAGGTGCTTGTGGGAAGGCAGAGAAGTAAGCCTGGAAGGGAAAAGGTGACTAACATATCTGAGGATGGAAAGCAATGATCTAGAATGCCAGATGGGTCAATCTCAGCAATCTGTCCTTTTCCTTCATATATTTGACAATATGATAAAGAGCACAATTTCTCCTGCACACCTGAACACAAGCTGGCACTTTATTTTGCCCTTAATATCTTATTAGTATACATTTGACTGAATACAGAATTTTCTGAAGTATTGAGCAAAATCAAAATTTCTCTACAACAGGAGTTTTGCCACTGCTTTCAAAGGAGCTAGCATTTTGATCGTTATACTTAGAGGCTGTTGATATATTTGGAGACTCCGTTGTATTTGGAGAATGAGTAAAGTCATGTCTAAAGTACAAGAAATATTTTCCTAATATCCCTAAGAGAATAATATGAAATTGATTTCATGGCATTACCTTTTACCTCTTTGTGTGACATTTTCTCTAATCATGTTCTCTTTTCCCTGAAAACATTTTGATTTTCTATAATATATAGTATATCCAGGCCTTTCTCCTGCTTCATTTTGAGTGTTTGGGCTGTAATGTTTTCTTCATGAATTTTCTATTCTGAAATTTTAACTAGATAGTGTAATAGAGTAAAACAATTTTATTTTTGGATTTTTTTTTTTTTTTTTTTTTTTGGAAGACTATGGTTGAAAATAAAAAAAAGCTATTACATAGAGTCACAAGTAAAAGGAAAACAAAAACAAAAACAAAAACACTTAGACTTAGGGAACCTGCATTAGAAGAGGGATTGAACTAGATGATTTCCAGAGGCCCCTTCTAAACCCTATGATTCCGTGATTCTGTGAATTCTTGAAAATTGAGCTGAAAATTTCAGAAAGTAGTATCTCACAAGAAACTATCACATACTCTCTAATGTGTTTGAATTTGCATCTCTGTAATAGAAGAATAATATGAAAGTGGTCTCTTGGTGCCTAGATTGGGCCATAAATCCCCATTTATTATAAAGCATCACATTTCTGTTGATGGAATCTAACTACTCCTTGACAAATAATAACAAAAAAGCCAGAGAGTATTTTTTGTTGTTTGGTTGTTCTCTTTTCTTCTATAATATCCACACAGTTGTCTATCACTGTATAATCATGCTGAGGCATGAGAAATAAAGATTATGAACGTGTACCTTTCTTGAAGAAGATAAAGGAAAAAAATGTTCCTTTCAACCTTTACTGCCATTTTTCAGCCACTGGGTACCACCATATAGTTGAGTTATAACTGCTTGAAAATTTTTCTTTTGAGTGACATTCAAGGTCATTCAGAGAAGCACCCATCATCCTGTCCTAATCAATCAACAGACTAATTGAGCAGATTCTGAATCTTCATAGGCCAGATACTCACTTTATTTCAGATGGTGAGATTCCTTTGACTTTAATGACAGTGTAGAAATTTATACTGTCTGAGCATTCAGAAGTTTTTCAAAATTAAGAAGTTTTCTTCAGAGTTTTCTTCAGAACAGACAATTTCTATCATAGCAGTGACGCAAAATGAACCATCAAACATTTTGGAATACAGAACTACTAGCAATATCTCCTATTACTTTGGAGTTTGGCTGTTTTTTAGCTTTTTTCTTTTTTTTTTCCTTAAATGTCTTAATTTTATGTAAAAGAATGCAGAAATAATTACAACAGAATAATGTTATGTTTTTGCATTTTTGTAAATAATCTTATTATCCTACTATGAATCTGTATCTGGATTTTAAATACAAATCTCTAGTTATTTTGTGTGTTTCCTTTAATAATGGAAGGATGAAATTGTCACTGAAACCCTAATTAAACCACACTAGTTCTGTGTTAGGATTCTTGTACTTTGGGGGATTTTCAACCAATTAAATATTCAGGACATATTCTACAACTACACTTGCTTTCGCTCACATAAAGGTTAATGGGAATTAGCCATGTGCATCAGGGGGAGAATGACATTTCTGTTTATTTCAACACCCTTCATTGAGAAAAGAAAGATTTGTCTGAATATAATACAGCATTTTATTTCATGATTTTACAAATTTTATTGTAAATCATCAAACAAATTCAATAGCCAATTTTTTTCCATTCCAAACCATCAGAAGTAGGAGTTTTCATTATGTTGTATGACAATTACTTTTTTCCCCTTTTTATTTTAAAGAATTAACTTAAAATTAAATATGCATTATGTAAGCATACTAATTTTCAGAATCTTTGCTGAAGGTGTTTTTATCTTGCTTTTACTTCAGACAAAGATAACTTGTTCTTTGTTATCACATACATGGGGATGAAACTCTCACAAACATCAGAGATTTTGCTTTCTCAGTCCCTATTCACAATGGAAATGGCCAGCTCAGTCTCTATGAAGATTTATGAGAACTGGGTAGTAGACACAAACCTCCCTCCTTTGCCCAAATATCATTACATAGTTTCTAAAATTTGGGTTATATTTCATATATTCTTGTCTTAGAAAGATGATGATAAGGTTAAATTAAGCCTCAGTAAACAAGTGATCTCATTACTTACAAATGACAGGTTATTTATGATAATTCTATGGTTTTCTTTTTTTGTTTGTTTTAAATAGCCAAATGAAATATTTTCCATATAAAGGCCATCTTAACCATCTTTTTTTCTTGAAATAAAATTTCTATATAGCCATACTACACTTTTTTTTTTTTTTTTTTTTTTTTTAGATACAAAGAAATTTACTGTAGATGGTAGTGAAACTTTCAGCATCTTAGGGCGGTATTTCAAAATGTTAAGTTCAGGAAGTCAGGATAGGCAGGGCATAAAAATAAACGTTGTAGCAACTAAGAGCTAGATCCAGCAAAAACTTATCATGGTGTGCTCTACTGGCTTCTCTCAGAAATCCCAGCAAACACTGGCCACATGTTTAGTGGCAAGAATTAACAGGTTAGGGCACTAAAGCTGAGGTTGTTGTAAGTACCAGTACCAACACAAAGTACTGTATGTATTTTGCTCAAATCACGCAGCAAAAAAACAAAATAACTAAAACTGACATAACTTTAATAATCTTTTTTTTTTTTCTCTTTTTTTTCCCTTTTTTTTCCTTTTTTTTTTTTTTTTTTTTTTTTTTAATTTTGTGGTACTTTAACTGTTATCACAATGTGGTCAAGAGGTCTGTGTCTTTTCCCATTTACACACAATTGTTCATGACAGCATGTTACCAGCCTAGTGGAAATCAGGGGTGTTGTATGGTAAGCAGTGGTGGTAGTGCACCTAGTTTTTATATTATCTAACTTGAAAATATGACTCTTCTAAGATTCCTTTTTCTTGATAAAAATAGTTTTCACCAAACGTTGGTGGTGCTCACGCACTACCACTCATGCTTGGCATCACACCCCTGATAGAAACATATGCTCTTATTTTGTTGATAAAAAGTATTACAAAAATTTCCATACAAAAACTATTTTCATAGAAATCTTGCATTTCCACAAATAAACCTGAACATTTTTTTTTTTTTGAAAAAAAAAAAAAACTGCTCAAGAATTTTGTTCATTTAGTACTGTGACTGTATTGAAAAATGCAGTCCTCCTTAAAGTTCTCCACATTCACTTCTTTTAGGTGACCCATTCTACTTCCAACATTCGTGAGAATTGCACAGGCTCCATTGAGTTCAATTAGTAGCAGGAACAAAGGCTTCAAAACCCATTCAGACTAAAATGCAAGTCTCTATACATGAAACACATTGCTTTCCCACCCCTTTCCCCTGACCTTATTACTCCCCCCCTTCTCACAATTTAAGAAAAAAAAAGTAATTGTTTTTACCTAAAAGTTGTAAGATAGATTCCTTTGTACTCACAGACCTTTTATTCCTCTAAGAATTGGGTCAAAATTATGGATTATTCTTGTTTTTTATCAAAGTTCCAACCCAGGTAAATTTAAATTAATGTTTTTTGTTTTTTGTTTTTGTTTTTTTAATTATTTAATTATTATTTATTTACTTAGTTCAGTGACACAGACAGTCCAAAAAGCAGGTGAGCATCTCCACGTATATTCTTCTATTCATGGATTCATGTTTCTTTGCTGTAATATTTCTCCCATCCAGGAAGCTCATACAACCTGTCCTGATGGCAGTTACAGTCTACCAACAGTAACCAATACTTCTATGTTTGGAAGTTCAGAAGAACTTATGGTTTCTTGTTTCACTACAGTTCTGAGATATTACTTCTACTAGACTCCTTCTGTGGTTAGTATCATTTCAGATATTTATTCTCCATCTCCTGGCAACGGTTGAACTTCAAAAGGAACCTGTAATTTCTCATTGAGACTGCATTTGAAACCAGCCACAAAACTCATATGGAACATTCATTCATTCATAATGGTGGAAACCCATGACGAACAGTGTAACCCTGCATAACTCGGTTGATCCATGATGCTTGTGATTTGAGTCTGGCCATTGCAACTGTTGAGATCACAGAGTCTCTAGTTCATAGACACAGCGGCATGAGGTAACTCATTTTATTTTGCACAGGTTGCATATTTCCACAGGAAACATTCTCGCAAGGTTGTTTGGAAAAAGGACGACAGTTTGTGCTTGGGGTGTTAGGCTTCCCAGCTCTACGCCATGGTTTCTTTACCCGGCAACCTTCTGTCGTTAAATGTGTGCATGTTGATAACTTCTTCTGTTTTCACAATAACAGGGGCCTGTGGCTTGTGTTTTAATCGACGCTGACACTTCAGAGACATCCTTAGCTCCTCTACCATGGCACTACAGAAGGACCTCTAGAGAGGGAAATAGAGGGGGGGAAAAAAAAAGAAAAAAAAACACATCTGTAAGAAGTATCTAACTGCAATGCCTAGAAGCAGATTCATTCCATTGGCACAGCCGTGTCAATCCTTTAAGTTTGCTTTGTCTCAGCCTGGAGCTCATAACAAATTAATGTCTTTTAAATATGCATCGCATAATAATTAAAATGACTTATCAAGCTGTGATGACTCACTGAAAAAAATTCACCTTGTCTCTACAATTATTTATCTTCCAGCTACTGACATGCATGCACATGATACATAAGAATATTTCAAACAGATGTTCCGTTAACATAGTTTAGCTTTACAGGATAACATCTGAATGTAATCTGTATATTAGATATTCAGTAAAATTTCCCTTCCCATATTTCAACACAATGCATTTAATTTCTATATGGTTTAGTTAGCTGATCCTTAACAAAACAGTAAGCTATATAGTGAAATATTTACCTAAATTAATATTTAACTACTGTAAAAATGCAGACCTATTACTGAAAAAAGGAATCTACTTCATTTTTTTTTCTAAAAAAATTTCTGCATTTAAACACTTCTTCCACTACCAAATATTATTTTGTAGAATATATTTTTAAAAATCTCCATGTTTATGGAATCAGAAAAAAATCATAAACGTTTTCTTCAATTAGATCCTCAAAACCATTTTTCCTTTTTTTTCTAGAGCACAACACATTTGAAAAGCAACTTAAAATCTCCCTTATTACTCTGATTTGAATGAATTCTGAACTGCTAATAGTGTGCTGAGCTATTAGCTCATTCTTGGTCTTAGAACTGAAGCATGGAATAAACAGGGGTGAAGAAGAGAACTCTCAATTTTGGGATCTTTTTCACTTTTATCACATGCTCTAAGTGAAATGCCTACCAGCTAGTGGATAAATGTATTTATGAAATAATATATTCTAGAGCCTGAGATAGCATGACAAGCTTCTGACAATGCTTCTCATGAAAAGCAATCGAGCTGGGAGACTTGGTCCAGAAAGATTTTAAGGAACTCATCCTACCTAATTCTTTGGAAGACTAATCTCAAATTGTGTTTTCAAAATCCACATTCAGTTCCAAATTCAAGAACTACTAAATTAGGAAGTGTGGGAGATATTGCAACTCTTAATCTGTGCAACCATTTATCAGGTGGAGTGTGTGAGCTGAACACAAGATTTGAGACTATCAATTCAATAGTGTTTTCTGCCAGAGGAGATTTAAACTCCAGTGTCTCAGCAGAGGACTGTAAAATTAAAGGAATGAGAACATATCAGGGTAAAATTACTTCCAGTTTCCTCCTACTTGTCCTATTCTGCTTCACATAAAAGCAGCAAATGAACACAGAGTGGGAGAAAGGGATAGAGTGAGAGCGCTAGAAACTCTGTAGATTAGGCACTGGGGAACTCAGTGGGAGAAGTAATCCTTCAGGGATAGTTTCTGCTTCATCAGTATATTTAAGTAAAAATCTTTATAATAAAAAAGAGTGCAAATGGGAGTTCAGTTCTGTCTTCAGTCATAGGATAGAACTCAACTCGAATCCCCTTAGTCCTGAACATACCCTCTTCTCAAATCTTTTTTATGAACAGGGGATATGCAGGAAGGAAGAAAAAATGTAATCTTAGCCTGCCTGGGATGCTCTTCCTTTCAAACACTTTTTCTCCTGCTGAGTTTGAAATAAACTAAAGACGCTTATTCAACTTGTGATAGAAAAGGGAACCCATAACTAAGGAAAATTTGAAATTTGTAATCCAAGAATCAGGAATATTTCTTTGGTATAATCAGGCGTAAGTTCTTTGGAGGCCAAATTTCAAGAAAAATTTCATCATTTCTGACTGCCTTCACAGAGTAAATCCACCAGTGGACACTCATTAACTATCTCGTTTCAAATGTTCTATGCACTGTATTGAGATAAAATATGAAACTTATGGTTTTCACTGTGTGAAGATGTTTGCTGAAATTTCCAAATGAATGCTCTGAGCCATAATGCACCAGATTGCATAAATTATTCTTGATTAACATTGCATAGAAAGCAGGAAACTCTCTTCTTTCATTCAACTGTGCTTTGGAGCAAAGTATTCAATTCTCTTAGAATTCATTTTTAAAAGATTGCTGTTGCTTAACATCAGAACTGCAGTTATGCTTATGGAACTGAAAGTAGCCCTGAAATCAATACAAATTGCAATATTTAATTTAATATTTCCTACAGGCTCACAGGTGAAATTACTAAGGCATGCAGATCTTGGCATTTTCACTATGTGAAGAACTTAGCACATAATTCAGGAACTTCACAGGAATTTGTTTAGAAGTAAATGCTGCAGGTCTCAGTGTTACATTACCAGCAGCCATTATATTGCTCTCACCTCTGGAATTAAGACCTAGCTGAAACACTGAAAAATGATGCATTAGCTCTTAAAACTTTCAAGATTTTATTCCTTGCTCCCTCTGCCAAGAGATCTTTAAAAGTGACAGAACAGAGTCAATGCTTTTCAAGATTCATCAATCCACCAAAATGTTCTTTTACAGATATGCAAACACTTAGCAAAAGATATCGAGTTTTAGACACTATTCGTATGAACAGGATTACAATCAAGGACCAAGAAGAAAGAAGATGCATGTATTCAATGCCAGCATCCTGAAATAACCTGAAAATAACATCTGAAGAAAACTACCAATGTATTCCTTGAAAATTTTACCTCAATTGGAAAACTCCATAAAATGAGAAATGCTGCCAAGATTTACAGTACTAGAAGGGTACTTAACAAAATTTTGTGATAGTTATTTTTTCTAGGAAATTCTCGCACTGTGTTTTCAAGTTAAGTTCATGTGAAATTAGCTCCATGCATTATATGAAATAAAATAAAATAAACCTAACTACTTAATTTAGTATCTTTTTTCAGGTATGCTATGCGTTATTTTAAAAAGATCAAATGTCTAAAAAAAAATACAATTAAACTGAGTAAAATAAATAATATATTTTTTTTCCTTAAAATTTCATTCACTGAAATATTCATCCATTTTAAAACAGATGAGTTCAAGGTTATGGTAAAGTTCATGATGTGGATTCTTTTCTTTGGATTTTGTCAGAGAAATGTGCCGTACAGAAAAGTTTTCCAACATATTGAAAAATCATGTTCAAAAAAGTTTACAAATGATTACTTCACATTTGACCTTTTTAAATATAAATTCTTCCCTTCTCTCTTTTTTATTCCAGTCACAGTACAATTTTCTGTACAGTTAAATTCTGTGTTCTTACAAGGAACAAGTTGGAATACATATTTGGGAAGAACACGATGTGAAAGAGAAGCAGCTATGTAATACTTTCTCTGACAAATAAAAGACATTTTCAGGCATTATTTCAGAAAAGATAATCCACTGTCTCAACGTTGATATCATCTGACCACTCAGATTGTTGGGAAAAAGGGTGAAACGTTTTCAGAACTTGAAGGTTATATTTCAAATCTTGATGTACACCATGAAAATGAGCTATTTTAACAGGTATTACAAGATTCACTTCATAATTCAATTAAAATAACCTTTTGCCCTGACTTAGCTTCCACACTGCAGGCAAATTACAAGAACATCAGTTATTATTGATTTTCCTCCAACACTTACAAAATCATAAGTTGTCTTCCTGAATGGTACCAAAAAGTAAATGCTGCCTCCAAGTCACCTTAGATACAATCAAATAGCAGGGGAATTGGAGGAAGGCATACAAATTGCTGAACACTAGCACCATTAAGTGCAACTATTCTGTTGCAGCAAGCAAGCACTATAAAACATTAGAAAAAATGTCTGTAGTTTTAAAAGACTTCAAGTGCACAAAAGAAAATTTTAATCAGAGCTGTAGTTTTTAGCCTTCTAATACAAAGCAATTCTTAAAACAAAAACAAAAAACTCTCATCTCTGTAAGTGTGAAGAAATAAAAGATACCTCTTTCATCTTTCATTCTTTGCCACAGCTGACAGCTCACAAATCATGAAGAACCAAGATAATCATTTAGCAGAATGTTATCACTGTTTACAAACTATTTACATAGCTTGTGCATGGTGTTACAGCCTGAAAAAAAAATGTTTCTTTGCATGCATGTATTAATATGAAAATTACACAATATTTAACTTTTTTCATTATATTGCTTTATAAGAATTTAGAGAGGTAGTTAGAAAGCATATTAGCATTTGTTATACACAGAGTTATAAAACTGTCACTATAAGTTTTGTTTTTAATGTCCTAAAAAGAGAAACAAAAATATAATGGCAAGCTAAAATCACTTTTAGCATTCTGAGTAAAGTGAATAATATTCTATCTTTTTAAAATATAAGCATCACAAGTGTTTGCTTTTTTATAGATTTTTCCCTCTTTAATGGATTTAATATAAAGTTGACCATCAACATTTAGCACAAAACTACAAGATTTATGTTTAATTTCATTATTACTTTGAGTCTTGCATGTCAGATATTATTTGAAATCTTGTTAAATTATCTTAAAGCAGTAGCAGCAGTAATCCAGCATATTCTTGCTATGTTACGGGTCAGTGTTTTAGCACTTAACAGGATATATCAATCAAAATTTTTTCATATTCATGAGGTTAGCTGAGATTCAATGCACAGCTCTGCCCTGCCCTTCCCTTGTAATCATTTTTTTCCTTTCGAATGCCAGATATTTTGAATGCATTTGTGAAAATTCTGTCTCAAACCCCTGGAAAGAAATAGAAATCCTAGCAAAGTGTTTACATAAGATCGCAAACAGATGAGAAACTAAAGGAATGAAAATAAACTTGGAAAAAGAGATTACCTGATGGAATGTAAGCATTACCTTATCAAAATAAATTAAAGTGTACTTATAAAGCTTAGATTTTTAGGATTCATAGTTATGTATCTAGTCTTAAACCAAAGAGTGTACACACACATATATGTATATACATTAAAAGATTTCGCTATAAACTTTTCTGATGTAGTATATTTTCAATCCAAAGTAAGTGTAAC